CCTTGCCCGCGCCCGCGCGTCTGCGGGGTGAACTCACGGACCGGCAGCGTCGTCGTCGTTTGGCGAGGAGAATGTATATTGCTGTACATATACCCCGCGCGCGCCTGGCGGTTGGGCTGCGCCGACGGGTCCGTGACTTACTGATCGACGCCTATGTGCGATTGGCGTTGTGGGAAGGTGTGGGGTGGAGTGGGGTTGGCGGGATCTGAGGAAAGGTTCGCGGATACTCTGCTAGTGGTGGTGGTGGTGCTGTGGGATGAGGTCATTGTGAGTTGGAGTTTCGAAGTTGGAGTTGGAAATGGTCACTGACACCTCACAGCATGCAGACTGGAAAATCAGACAAAACAACGGCCAGCGATGCTGTCGCGCCGCCAAACGTCAATTAGGTACAGCAACATTACGTCTCTGTTTTTTCGCGTAGCCTCTCGGGGTATAAACAATAGAGGAGCGTCCCGATGGATGCATACATGCAATCATTGGCAGGGACGGCAAAGGACAGACAAGAAGTGCGAAACTCAACACAGGACACGTACGTCGCCTCTTCATGACTACGACGAGCCAAACCGCCGCCCCGAAATGCGTCGACGAAGCGAGAACGGAGAGATTAGTACCCATCCTTCATAAAGCTGCGGTAGCGCGACATCATACGGCCCATCATGCCGCCGCCCATCATGCTGTCCTCTTCGGTGGGTGCATCGCTCTTCGTGTCGCTATCGCCGCCGCCGCCGCCTCCCTTGCCGCCGTACTTGTTGACCATCTCGCGCATCTCGTCGCCTTGGCCGTCCATGGCCATTTGCGGTCCGATTATGCGAAGGAAGGCGCCTAGGATGTCGACAAGCTTCTCCGGCAGCTGGATCAATCCGGCTTCGCCTTGGTACGCGTCGATGGTGCTGGTGAAGCGGTCTTGAATGCCTTGGTTGACGGGGCCGGCCTGCGGTGCCAATGCGGCGTCGAGCGCGGCCGTGAACTGAAAGAGTTAATTGAGGGATCAAGAGCGTGAGGGGGGCACGTACGGCAGAGCCCAGCTGGCGCGTCTTTTCCTTGGTCTTGGTCAGTTCGCCGCGCAGCAGCGTCACGACGTCGAGGAGCCCAAAGCCAGCCTTTTCGGCCTCTGGTTTCTTGCTCTTGACATTGTCCAGCAGACTGAAGATGTCGGGCTGGAGCCCAAGAATCTTGGTGCCGACGGTCGTCCTGCAAAGTCGGTCAATCCTGTCCATGCTGAAATGTGGGGGGATTTACGAAGCCGTAATGTCCAGCTTGCCCGTCTTGTTGGTGACGGCCGTGCAGTTCTCAATCCCGTCATTGAGCTGGTCCGTTTTCGATTTGATCTCCAACAACTCGAATACGCCTTTGATTTCGCCGCCCTCAAACTTCGACACCGTCTCGTTCAGCGACTTGATCCGGTCCGTAATGGTGTCGAGCGACTGCGAAATGGCGTCAGGGCCAACGGGCACGGGCTCTCCCTCGTCTTCCTTATTGCCGGGCAGCGCCGCGCCCATAACCATGCTACCCAAGAGGGTAAAGGGGAGAATGACGGAGAAGCGCATAATGATTCGAACCAGGGGGTGTCGAGAGCCGATGGCGGAGGTGCTTGATGGAATAAACGAATGGGGGCGCCACTGATATATCAAACGTCGAGAACAACAACGATGCAGGGGACAGTCTTGCGGCAAGTTGCGTGGGCGCGTTGATCGTGGGCGCTCGGCCACCAGCTCCTCTCATTACTCAATCCATCATCAACGATGCCAGCACATGATGCCGACGACGGAGAGGAGTCGCCCTCGCCGTTGGCCGCCAAGACGTTGGGATCTGGAGAATCTTGCGGGCCCTCCGCAGCGCGCGTTCCTGATCAGGCATGGTTTGGTGCTTGTTGGCCCATGTTATCCAGGGACGGGTGTTTTGGATGTATGAGTGCGGAGAAGTACCCCCCAGCATCGCTGCCGAGGCCGTTGGTGGTTGGCGAACATCTGATCAGGGTCTTCGTGGAGGAAGAAGTTCGTGAGTTGCGCGATGGTCACTTCAAACCCATGGAGCGAATCTTCATTGCCTATATCTTTTACTCAGTCCACGACTTGGGTTGAACGGGAACACACCTGGTGTTGACTCCAATTGTCGTCCGGCTTGTGTTTGGTCGGGAGATGAGACGGGCCGGGTTCCCCTTTCCAACGACACGTCCTCTCCTCACCTCCACACAACAGCACCTCTCTCTTGGCTCATCTGCGCCGACCAGCATGTCGCGTTCCTGAAGGCTGCCGACATGGCGCTCGACTCATGATTCTCGGAGCTGCGTCTCTCCCGAGCACAAAATGCGCCGGCTGCCAGCAAACTCGGGCGGGCCGTTGGAAATGCTTTTGCTAGCGCTTCCTGCCGTCGCGTGGCTCTTTATTTCCTGTCGACTGGAAGCCCAACTTCATCTCCATCGAAGCATCTTTTCGTCTCCGCACTCGGCATCGTTCGTATTGCCCTGGCGATTCAATCCGGTGGGACAACTCAACGCAGGTTTCGCAGGACTGCAGCGGGACGCCATGGGTGCAGTCGTTCGCATGTGCAACGGCAGCTGGGAACAAAATCGGCCACATGACAGTCGACAGACATCAAGACAGCAGGCAACACTCGATCGCAGCATGCCGGCTCTACAGCACGCGACGTGCAGGATCTCGACGCGCAACAGTCTTCAGAATTGCTGACCACGCCGGCCAATCACCTCCCTGTCTTTGCCATCAAATTCTTTTTCTCAAGGATCCCTCCTCCACGTTGTTGGCCCCGCGTCGCCCCGGCTTGGCTTCTTATGCTTCTTCCCGTCTGAGTACGCCAGGAACCGAATGCGACGGCACTGGCACTTATTGACCTGAACGCACAGCGCCCGCCTCAACTCCAAACACCCCATCTCACTTCGCTGCTGCCTGGAGTCGCGTTGTTGCGCTTCTTGGCGAATGTGAGGACGTCCGCCGCTTTTGGACGTCAATTTTGCCCAACGCTTTTTCTGCGACGCAAATCCCAGCGTTCGCGCTGATTGGTCTCTTGCCGGGCTTTGCTGTACTGCCAAAAATTCTTTTGGCGTAAGACAGATCGTTCTGTTGACCTGTTGCCCCTTTCGTGTCTGTGTCGTCTGTTCGCTGCCTCTCTTTCTCGGCACCACACACGCTACAGTCAGGGGAAGAAGCCGTTTGATGCGAGAAAAGAGGCACGCCCGAGATTCTCTATGGCAGGTATAGTGTTGAGTGACTATTGCCGTGGCCGAGTCGTCACGCGGATTGGCTGATGACGCTTTGCTGCCGTCTTCGCCGTGGCGAGACATCCAGTCACTCCACGCACTCCTTGTCTTGCTTCCCCGACCTTTCCTCTTGTACCGTACCTCCAGCAATTCCCAGTCATTCTCTTCGTCTCTCCTCGACAGGCTGGCCCTGGCATAACAGCCGTTTAGAGATCGCCGCAATCAAAATTTGTCGTACCGAGTATCTCGCAATCAGTCTTGCGCTAGTTGTTGATGGAGATGTGCACACTGTCGCACAGGTACCTTTTTTCTGCACACTCAAGGCTATGTAAATGCGCTCCGGTAGTTGTGGTCTTCCTCCTCCTGCCCCTCCTCTTCTCCTTCCAGCCGTTTTCCTCCTCGTCGAAATGGACATGCCTCCTTCACCCCATCTGTTCGACGCTAAGGACACGCGTGTCATCAATACCCTTAAAAAATGGTAGAGATCGTCAAATCGCGATGAGGAACAACGCCGCTCTCAATATCCCGAGTCAAGTCTGCTTTGGCACCGCATCCGACTCGCTGGACGCGTGCAATTTTGCCCGCGTCTGCGCGTCGGGCACCGCAAAGGATCAAAGAGCGCAATGTCGGCCGCGAGGGATAGCAAGCTTGCATCACTACGACCTGTTCTGCGATTTCTCGAGACGCCATCTTGAGCGCCTTTGTATTAGAGTGATGGAAGCGTAACTAGACTCTTTACAAAAGTGTTGAGCAGTTAGCGTGGGGAGTCAGTTTGTTGCGTTGGACCTGAAAGGAAGCGTGGGTTGCGGTGATCCGTGTTGAGATCTGACCTTGGAAGAGCCGCGGGTTGCTCGAATACCGTCGTGTTTGAAAGTGGTGGCATTTGTGCTCGCATCTCGCAGGAGATGGGGGTGTGCAAGAAATCGGCAAGGCAAGCGACCGATCACGACACGCTGTGATATTCGAAGTCGAAAGGCGCATGATACGGATGGAGGGTGGGAGTTTGCGATGCCTGATGTGGTCTAGAGAACTTGTGGAGTGTGTAAGTGGTTACAGCAGAGGAGCGGCGTGTGAGTGGTTTGGTGACAACGGCGCGTGATACCGACGCTGAAAGCTACTACCGGCCGCTCTTGGAGGAGGATTTCTCTGTGTATTCTCAGCGACTGTTCCACAGATACGTAGGCAAGAACACTGCTGTGTCAGTTTACGCCTTGTCAGACTCAGCCATCAGGCGCCAAGTCGAGCGAGCGGACTTGCAGCTGCAGACCTCCCATCAAGCCGTTCAGTATGTATGCTTACCACCGGCACTTTCTCTTCCTCGAAACTGTTTCCAAGCAGGAAAAATTCATCCAAAGAGTTGCTCATTTCCGACGGTACAGCTATCTGAGTGACCCCTTTTTGGCACTCGTACGCGATGGCCTAATGAACAGAACAGGCGCACACAACAATATCGTTCCATTCCTTGTACCCAACACTCCGAAATGACCCAGGAGATATGAATAGAGACCCGCAGGATCAAAAACTCGCCTTCCCGTCAGTTGCGACATGCCGCCTTGGTGTCCTGTATTGCCCCTGGCTCCCCATTTCGCCCAAGAAAAGGCTTTGCTTGCGACACCCAACGGCCCTCAATATTTCCCACACACAAAACATCCCCCTTCATGTCTCGAAACTCAAAAACTACCCCTCTAGAGCCGCGTGGCGACGTTTTTTTCCAATTCTCTTCCGCAAGCTGCGCCATTACTCGTTTTCTTGATGAGCCACCTTCCCCAAACTCCTTCCAGTAACCGCAGCTTTAGCTCACTTGGGAGAGCGCCAGACTGAAGTTCCACTTCAGTTCTCCGATGCGCGAGCAATTCTTGCGCATCAGCCACTTCTACTGTGCGGTATCTGGAGGTACTGTGTTCGATCCACAGAAGCTGCACAAGCATGCTTGAGCGTACTTGAGCGCGTTTCCTTTTGATGTGAAAACTTTTTGCCTGGTGGGGAATGGGGATTGAGGTGGGAGGGTGCGGAAGCGGTGGTATTCGGGCCGAGGTTTGGGTGCACGGTTGTGGTGGCGTGGATGAGGTGAGGCGAGCGGAGCGGAGCGAGGCAGGGGATTTGGGTGTGTTTTTGTCGTGGGAATGAGTTGTCTGAGGATGGGTGGTGGGAGGGCGGTGTTGATGGGGTTAGGTCTCCTAGCTCAGTCTGCGTGTGAGGAGGTTGCTGGGACTTGAAAAGGGTGGGATTTTGACTGCTTCTCTGCGCTTCTTGGAACACAGCTTCCTCTTAGGCAAGAGAACCAATTTTTGTGTTGGAAAGGCATGTGTCTCGAGTTGGCGTCGAAATGTTCAAGTGATTGCGGGTATTCTTGCAGCCATGATGCATGCGAAGAGATCGGAGCGGACGAAGCGCGGCATCGCTTGGAGCGGACTATGCATGGAAATGTTCCCGAGCAATTCATTACACGGTGCTTGTCTTCGGTAAAGTGTAAGACTTGATTCGAACAAATCGACGCGCAGGAGGAGGGAAATGAGATTAGCGAACCAAAAGATGGACGGTGGAGAGGCGAAAAGGCGCCCGACGCATGAAAAGGGACAAGGGGATAGCACTTCTCGACAGCTGCTCTAAAATAAATCGAGTTGTATGGACATGAGAAAAGCTGTAGTCAGGATGTCTCTGCATAACCTCCAGCGCAATGGTGCAGAGCTAGTTCGATTCAATCCTGCCCCGGCGCAAGGCAAAACCACCTCCGCTTTTCCTAGCAACGGTCGTCGACGCATCAAGGCATCCTTTCAACACCACACTTTTCAATACAGATCTACCACATCGAACCCTCTCCTCCCCAGCCCATCCAGCATCCGAAAAAATGCTAGAAAAAGCCCTCTACGTCAACGCTGTCCCCTCGTCGACATCCTCTCTAAAAACCACGGCTAACCAGCTTACACACGCAAATCTCCATCTTAAACCCGCCAGTAACTAGACAGAAGCCTGCCTGGCATCTACGTTAAGCCTCACGGTTTGTGGCTCCCGGCACTTTCTGATAAACACTCCTGAGATGACTATTCCATTGACTATCTAACTACACACTGCCGGTAAACACGGCCTGATTGTGTCCTTTCTCTTGCTAAACGCACACTCCCCGATGCTTAGACTGACTTGTCTCGCTCAGATCTTCTGCCAGATGATACGCTTATGTATATACGCAACTCCAACTGTTTTCGCCTGCCTGCTGGTTTCACCACAAGCGCAGCAAGCGCCGCCCTAGAGGACATCTCGCCTGGTAGACTACTTGTACATCGGAATTATCTGCTCTCCGCCTGCTTGGATAGCCACAGACACACAATAGTATCGAATTGCCGCCGCTTGCATTCGGCTTTGGTCGTTTGGAACTGGTTTTGCGGACTGTTTGGCTGGCGAGATGGGGTGTGGAATGCTTTAAGGAGTGCAATCAGAGCGTGCAATTGTTTGTGGGGTTTTAACGCGGGTATAAAAGCTGACTGCTGTCGTTGTTCGTAGATTTCGGGACCAGGCTTCTCGTTGTCTTTTTTTTCGATTGGTGCTCAGGGCCTGGTGTGGCTTCTTCGTGAATTCTGAATCTTGAGAAAAGGAGCCATTCTCGTTGAGAGACACATCAGTTCTTGTTAACGATATGTCTCGCACTTAGGCCATGTAGCTTTTGCACTGGTTTTGAAGTCATTATGCAGATCTGTTGGCTGTGTGTGACGTCTGGTGGTACAGATTCCTGGTTCCCAAGTGGGACTAGCGCCTCCATTTCTGGGTGCGTCCCACGTTTCTCTCAACACCATCACCATCACTATCACCGCTCGTCACTCTGCCCTCTATCGTCCTCGCATCCTGCGCAAATCTCTCCTGTGCTCAATCCCCAATCTGCTCTTGGTCAATCAGCCGACGCCCTCATCCTCTCAAGTGTTTCTCGCCGGCATGGCCATCACCAACGCTCGCCGCTTGCGTCGGCTTCACCTCCAGCCATTCGATCGATCCGACCAAGTCGCAGAGAAGCGGCGCATTAAACGGGAGCTGAAGGACCTCAAAGCAGCGATGCGCCACGAGCGCGCCGAAGTCCAGGATACGTTCCACCAAGACTTGATCACGCGCAAAGAGTACAAGCACGCCCTCGCAGCCATCAACCTCTACGAGACGCGACGATCCCTCCAAATCGACCCGCCCACTCCCGCGCCCGCCAGCCTCGAAGGCCTGCCGCGCGAGCTACGCCAAAACATCTTCTCCAAGCTGCTCAAGGACGACGAGCTCTCTGACGACCGCCGGCCGCACGAGTTGGTTACGCAGACAACCAAAATCGCCCTCGTCTGCCGCAAGTTTCGCGACGACATGGACCACGTCGAGGCCGTCTGGCGCCAGCGCATGGCCGTGCTGTCGGCGCTCTATGCGCCGGAACGAGAGCACTTTTCTCGCGTCGCGCGCAGCTTGACGCAGGTCATCAACCAGACGCGCGCCGTTGACCGACGGATCCAGCAGGAGCGAAACCGCCGCAAGAATGTCAAGAAGAGGGAGAAGGCGGAGAAGCGGCGCAAACGCGATGGCAATGCGTTGAAGACGGCTCAGCAGGGCGGCCAGAAGAGGAGCAAGCCGGGCTCGTCGCTCATGATGGCGGAGCGCGGCAATCGAGGCGTGAGTTGGTCTTGTTGCTGTGACTTGGCGACGCTGGCTGATTTGTATTTGTCCAGAGAGATGATTCGCAGGACGTTCCGCCGTGGGCTGGCACGCGCAAGACGTTTGATGACTAGACAGACCATCATGAGTGGTCGGGGTGTCTTTTCCATGGACACGGGACAGCATTCGGCGTCGTTTGGGCCGCATTCATGACGGTCGGGCACAGAACCCACATCTCCACCCAACCTCCACTCCTACATTTATCTCTCCTTGCTTCCAGCTGTCTCGTCTCCACGCGTCTCGCATGTATTGCATTTCATCCCCGGTCCCGCCAAGGGCGTCTAACCGCCAACGGCAGGAATCCTGTGCGCTGCATGGGTCCGCCGCGGTCCGGCCCTGTCGTCTGGCCCCTGCCTACACCACTTGGTCTCCCATCTCTCCAAAACATACACCTCCATACTGCCCAAGCCGACCGCCGCCGTACTGCTTCGACTCGACTCGGACAATGCTGGGCCGAGCTCTTCTAGATCGCACATCAAACCAGTTTCTTCTTCCACCCTACTCTCCTTTTCTTATCCCGTCTCATTGACAGTTCCTAGCCCCATCACGTCTCCATCGGCTGGCCCTCCCTCGCTCGCTCACTCGTTAGCTTACCCCTCTCGTCCCCTCGCTCGTCGCTTCAACCGCTCACGGGCACACTCTTCTCTAGTTTAGCCACCATTTCTTAGAAAAAGCCTGTGTGATAATAAGTTATTACCATACACTAAAATTTTTAGGAACTTTAAAATTACTATACCTACTATAACCCTATAGCGCGGGCTTATATATGCATAACTAAAGTAGGAAAGTAATATACTACCTTATAAAGCATTATACTATAAGTATACCCTTACCTACCCTTCTAGGGGAGGCTATACCTAACTAGGTCCCCTATCTACTAGATAATACTAATAATACCCCCTAAAATACCCCTATACTACCTAGCCTACTACCTACCTAAATAGCTAAAGATATAATAGACTAGAATTCTATAGAGGACCTAGTCCCCCTATCCTCCCTACCTATTATTATGTAAGGCCTAGTAGAGGAAGAGTATATAGTCCTAAAAAGGACTATTCTAGTTAATATATCTAAACCTAACCCTATATACTAATAAAAGAGAGGAAAGAGAATAAGAATTAGATTCTATCTAAATTTTAACTCCTCCTAGGAGGCTATTAATGCGGCCCTCTTATATATCCTATATACTATAAACCTTTTATATAATATAAGTAAGAAATATAGACTTTATAATCTAAGTAACATCCTATAGGACTATACTAAGATAGGGTATATTAGTAATTATCATAAATTATTAAGTAGCTAATATATAGGCTTTCGCCTAAAGGCTATCTACTTAGTCGGACGTATATAAAATTAAAAGAACTTAATTAAAGTTAAGTAGAGAAGAGATAAAGTTAAGTAAAGTCTTATTAATTATTATAAATATAGAAGATACTATATACTCTTCTATCTTCTATATGTATTTATATAAGAAGTGAAATAAGAACTAAACTCTCTCTTTACTACGCGAATTACTACTTTAGTTATATTATTAAAATAGATAAGAAATTAATCTTCTTATTACTACGCGAAGTTTCGTTAGCCGTTAAGTAGGCTATATATCCTTAGTAGTATTTATTATCTATTAGTACTACTAGCTTATATAGCTTAGTTATAATTATCTTTAGCTTATTAAGTAATCGCGTAAGGGCGTAGTTATAATATGCTTACATTACTAGCATCTAATAGCTATTACGTTACGTCTAATAGCCGCGTCTAATAGCTATTACGACATTCCCCCCCTAATAGGAAGCCTAAGTTAGCTTATTAAGTACTTACGCGGATAACTAACTAGCGTTATTTCGGTAAGGGCGTAAAGTATAGGACTACTAGGTATATCTTATTATTAGGGTTATAGTTTAACTAACCTTCTTTACTACTACCCTTTCTTTAATAACTAATCTTCCTTATATTAACTTTTCCTATAATAATAATCCCTCATCATTACATCTTCCCTTTCTTACTTAAGTAATAATAGTAAGTTATTACGTTTACGGTAAGTTCTTAGTTTAAAACGCTTAACTAATTGTTATATAATAGTATCTAATTAATCTCATTACTTAAAGCGCCTTAAAGGCAATATAATACCTTAAGAGGATGCTAAGGCTACTTAGAATCATCGCGTAACACGTTACACGTAATTAGCTAATTATTAGTATATCCGGAGTTTTTTAAAAAGGTGAAGTAAGGCTAACTAGTCTAGGT